AAGTAGGTGCTTTAGACCACTGAGCCATCTCACCAGCCCTGAATCATTTTTTGGAGACAGGATTCTCCTCTGTAGCCCAGGCTGGCCTCGAACTCACAGTGATCTCCCTGCCTCAGCCTCCCGAGTGCTGGGATGACGGGTGGGCACCACCGTGTTTAGCTAAATAATTGGATTTGATTGATTGATTGATTGATTTTTTTAAACCTTTGAAGGATATTACATCTTGGCAGGCATGTACTGCAATTGAGAAGTATAAGTGTTCTGGAAAAGTTGTCCGTGCTGTCATCGCTTTCTATCTGATAACCACCCCCAGTAAATCCGATGTTCGTTGTCCTGTATGTCACCCAGGACCATTCCCTACTTCATTTCTAGTCAACTTTTTGCAAAGCTGATAAGCACTCTGCTGATTTATTCTTTGCAAGAATTATTTTGTCTTCACTCAACCAACAGGTGATTTTTTTTTGGCACTGTTTAGTTACTTTGTAGGAAGATTCGTACTGGGGGTGGAACCCAGGGCTTTTATACTGAGCTACATCTATTGCCCTTTTCATTTTTTTTTTTTTTTATTTTGAGATGGGGTCTCACTGAGTTTTTAAGTTGTCCACACTGGGCTAGAACCTGGGATTCTCCTGCCCCAGCCTCCTAGAGTTGTGGGCTGCAGGTATTCACAGTCATGGCTGATTGGACGTGGCCTCCTGGTGGCCAGCAGGGGGAGGGCGGTGCTGTTTTCAAGGCTGCAAGGCTGTTGTCTCCCTAAGCGCTGGAGAGAGCCCCCTGGCCCTGTCCCAGCTGCTAGGAGTGTCCACAGCCCTTGGCTTGTGGCCCCTCCATCAGTGGATCAGGCGGCACCAGTCTGCAGCCTCTCTCCTTCTTGTGCCGGCCCAGGGCTATCCTGGGGATCCTGGGCCCTGAGCGGTCAAGATGACACCCCTCAGGCTTCTCCATGTGACCCCATCTGCAGAATTCCCTATTGCTATGGAAGGTGAGGTAGCCACAGACCCTGGGGATTTATTTTTTTATTTTTTAAAGGTTTTTTTTTTTTTTTTTTTTTTTTATGTGTGTGTGTGTGTGTGTGTGTGTGTGTGTGTGTGTGGCCAGCTCAGCCCACCAGGGGGCGAGGCTGGCTGGCATGTGGTGCTGGGGGATCGAACCGAGGTCCCTGTGCTTTAGCCAAGCTTGTTCCAAGTAGGTGCTTTAGACCACTGAGCCATCTCGCCAGCCCGACCCTGGGGATTTAGACATGGACATCTCTGGGGGCCATTAATCAGCCAGCCACAGGTGGAAAGAAAAGTACCACTTCCAGGAAGTGCTGACAGAGGGTCCCGGGAGGGGAGAGAAGAGGAGGGGGAACTGTCCCTCCCCCCACTGGCTGGGCTGTTTCTGAGCTCAGGCAGGGGGTGCCAAGTCTCTGGCCAAGGGCAAGGATCCAGCTCCCTGTCCTCCTCCACCAGGCTGGCCGGGGTCGCGCTGGGACAGCAAGGCGCTGGTGCAAGTCGTGAAGGTCGCTGGGCACCGAGCTCCAGGGTTGCCTGAGTGGCGGGCGCCTCCGCTGGCTCCTCCTGAGTTCCCTGGCTGGGTCATCAACACCGGCTCCTGGCGCGCCCCTGCTGGAGATTGCAGAGTGGAAGGGGTCCAGGTGTGTCCCGTGGTGGGGGGGGGCTGTTGCTGGGTCACCTCCCACTGGTTCTCCTCACATTTCAGGCCCTGGCATGTGTCAGTCTCTCTTATAATTGTTTTTCTCTCTTTTTGACCATGGTAACAGGCACAATTTTAACAGGTAAAATTATCATTTTAGCCATTGTTTTACTGGTTTATTTTGTGACAGGGTCTTGTTAAGTCACTAAATTGCCCAGGCTGACTTTGAATCATGCTTGCCTCAGCCTTTTAGATCCTGGAATGATGGGCTGGCCAGATAGCTCAGCGGACTAAAGCACCTGCTTAGGCAAATGCAGGGGACCGGTGTTCAAACCCCGTGCAGTGCCGGGCGTTCTGAGACTGAATGAGACTTGGGCGTGGTGGCACTCAGGATGAGTTTGTTCTATGTAGTGAGACCCTGTACAAAAAATATATCAAACAATTTAAATTCTGGAATGATAGTCGTGCAATTTTTATAACTATTTTCTTATTTATTTTTGGTACTGGACCTTATGCTTTCCAGGCAGGCACTTATACAACTGAGCTATTTTCCCAGCCCTTTAGAAATATTTTCTGTGCACTTGGGAATACATAGCTCTTGTGTCAGATTTTGTTGTTTATGAGTTTATTTTTATTTATTTATTTATTTTTGGTACTAGAAACTGAATTAAGGGCCGGGGCAATGGCTCAGTAGAATAAGCACTTGCCTGGCAAGCACAAGGTCCTGAGTTCAATCCCCGGTACAAAACAAAAAAAACAAAGAAAAAAGAAAGAAAGAAAAAAGAAAAAGAAAAAGAAATCGAACTCAGGACCATGTCCTTGCTAGGCATGCCCTGTGCCACTGAGCTGTCTCCCTAGCCCTATTTTATTGTTTATAAGAGGCCACATAAAGCACAGCATAGTGGTGCACACCCGTAATCCCAGCACTCAGGAGGTTGAGGCAGGATTGCTATGAATTTGAGGCCAGCCTGAACCGAATAGTGAAACCCTATCTCCAAAGGAGAGAGAGAGAGAGAGAGAGAGAGAGAGAGAGAGAGAGAGAGAGAGAGAGAATAAAAACCTGAATAATTTATAAAAAATGTGATCTGAAAATTCTGTCTTTCAAGTGGGATTTTTTTTTTGGGGGGATACCAGGAATCCAACTCAGGACCTTGTGCTTGCTAGACAGACACTTGTGCTGCTGACCTGTATCCCCAGCCCCGAAAATTTTGTCTTTAAATTATTTTTTGGTACCTGGAATGGAACTCAGGACCTTACACTTGCCAAGCAAATGTAGAGCTGCTGAGCTATATTCCCAGCCCTGTCTTTAAATTTATAAATTTATTTTATAATGTTTTCATTGCTTTTTCTCCTTTTTCTCACATTTGTGCTTTTCTTTCACTATTTTACTCTACTTAGGGAAGGCATTTATATATTTTATTTCTGTTCTTTAGATTTCCTTTAAAAGTCTGTCATTCAGCCAGGACTGGTGGCATACACCTGTAGTCCCAACACTGGGGAGGCTGAGGCAGGAGGATCGCCATAAATTTGAGGCCAGCCTGCGCTACATAGTGAGTTCAAGTGAGTCAGCTTGCACTACACAGCATGAGTCTATCTAAAAAAAAAAAAAAAAGTTTGTTATTCCGATTTCACCAGTCTGTAATCACCAACCTCTCCTGTCCTGTGTGTGTGTGTGTGTGTGTGTGTGTGTGTGTGTGTGTGTGTGTTATGCGCACATGTATTTGCTAGGATGGAACCCAAGGACTTGCGCGTGCTAGGTAGGTGTGCTCAGAGGTGCATGCCACAGTCCCTTATTAAAAATAAATAAATAAAACTGGGCTTGATGGTGCACACCTATAATCCCAGTATTGTGAAAAGCTGAGACAGGAAGGGTCCAAGTTCAAATCTAATCTGGGCAAATTAGTGACCTAACAAGATCCTCTCTCAAAATAAAACAATAAAAAGGGCTGGCAGTACATCTCCCTGTCAAAACCCCGGGTGTGATCCCCAGTACTTAAGAGAAAAATTGAAATAGGGTCTTGCTCAGCTCCCCTGGCTGATCTTGAATTTGCAATCCTCCTGCCTCAGCCTCCCAATGCTAGGACTATAGGCTTGTGCCACTGTATCCAGCTGAACCATAGCGTTTTTTTTTTTTTTTTTTTGGGAAGGGTCTACAGGGTGTTCCGGGTCTCACTACTAGATCGGACTCGTAGTGATTCACCTGTTTACAGCCTCCTAAGAGCTGGGATTACAGAGCTGCGCCACCACACTCAGTCCCAATTGCCAGCTCATCTCACCCCTGGGGCAGGACCTGCACTGGAGGCTCAGGGATTAAACCCCCAGCCCCCGATCCTACTTGCAGTGCTTTAATTCACTGAGCTATTTGGCTGGCCCTTTGAACCATAGTGTTTTAAAGATTACCCATCTACTGCATCTTGTATCTACTTCAACCTTGGTGTCCATGTCCCCTGTGTTGATCATTATTTTATAAATAAATTGCTTACTTAAAGATCCCCATAGGGTTATAATTTCTGCACAATGTATGTTTCTTACATTTCCCCTGTCTTTTTGAGACAGGGTCCCCTATCTCGGGGTCCCCTATGCAGTTCAGGCTGGCCTTGAGCTCACTCTGCAGCCCAAGCTTCTCTCTCTCTCTCTCTCTCTCTCTCTCTCTCTCTCTCTCTCTCTCTCTCTCTCTCTC